ATATTCTTGAGATTCTAATGACATACGATTATTACGTAAATATTAGCAAAATTGCCCTGCTAATTCTGCCATTTTGAGATTATGACTTATTTTGATAATGTGGCCACGAGGAAGACAACTTTGTTACATAACAGCTGTTAACGCTATTAGTTTTGCGATTGTGCAACATTTTAATTTAAAAACCGTTCAAAGTAAATGCATATGCGTTAATTAGAACATATTGAAGTGCTAAATGGCCAAAAAGGAGACACTGGCCAAAATCGGGTGGGTCTTCTGCTCTATTTTTTTTCTTATAGAGAAATGCGTTGCAACTTTATCCGTTCCTGAAGCCCAATAAGAACCTTTAAGTAACTGGGAGACTGATTTTTTAAATATTTAGCTATAACAGCTAGATCTGAAAAATTTGTGTTGGCTTAGCAGCCAACAAGCAGAGACAGATTTACAGTGATGCCGCCCTTATTTAAGCTCTCATAATTTAGGTACTGCATATGAATTTACATTCTTGACAACGTTTATTGAAATAGATTCAAATTAAGTTGATTTATTATGTCGAAAAAAACATAATTTCTTATTGCTAACATACTGTATGTATATGTCAGCGTTAGACATGCTCACAATAGGAATTAATTGCATCTGAAATAATAAGCATCTGAGTCGCTATTCCGTAAAATTCTTCAAAATATACATGAAGCTTATTTTAGCTACGTATACATTTATCGATATTAAACTTAAAAAATGTGATAAATAATACTTATCTCAAAAGTGACTTATTCAAGAAAATGCTATTGAAGTCGGACGTGTATCATCGAATTAATAACCTGCAGTAAACCTGTTTAAAAAAGTTTCTGAATTGAAAAAAGGAAAAAATGTCAATAACATATTTGTTTTTATTTTTCACAAGGCAAAGGGTCCTAGTTTTTATCAAACTGCTATCAACTCAATACTAACAAAGCTAGAATTAGAAACAAAACCTGTTTAAGTAGAGTTTGAGTTGTGCATAACTTTAAATACTCAATTTAGAAACTGGATGTAAGTTGCTTTTGAGACAAGTATTATTTATCACGCTTTTAAAGTTTGAAGTCGGATCTATTTTTGAGAAAAAAATTTTGATTGGTAGTGTGTACTCAACCTTACTTGGAAACATTTACCGATTGTGGTTTTGCTATATATCCTTATTATTTAAGCTTCAGCTCAACCCACACAGATTATATTGATCTTATGATTTACAAATATTCATGTAACAGTTCTAATAAAATGTATCTCTTTTTTTTTATAAAAACTTTTTCTAAAAATGAACCTAATTTTTCCAGTGCCGGGCCAGGCTAACTAGGCAACTGCCTAGGGCATTCGCGCTTATATTTAGGGGGAAGCTATACCTGACAAACAGATTATGTCGCTCTGATCATTTGAACTTTAAAAATGCAGTACCTTAAAAAGTATTTTTGTTCTTCGAACATAAGTCTACGTCTGCGGTATTCAAAAGTACAACAATTTCAGACTGCAGTATCTAAGGAGTTTCTTTTGTCATTAGCAAAATTGTACTCTTTAATCAGTGTATCTTTGTTTTGTGGGCAGCGTTCTAGTTTTTTTTCCCTAGGGCGCCAAGTTTCATTGACCCGGCGCTGAATTTATGATCGACTTGCTTATTGATGCGTTAATCAATTTCATTGAGTCGTTTCTCATTTTCACTGGGGCTTATGGTCCTTCAAGTGTAAAGGTTTCAGCTAAAAACTTTAGTACTGCAATAAAATTTGATGGCAGGTCGTTGCAACCGTTTAGAGGTTAACGTAATAACGCCCAGACATAATAGATGTTCAGTAAGAATATTATTTAATAAAAAAGAGATCACGGACTTACCATAAATTTTTAAATGCAATGCAAATGCGGAGACATTGTTATGTTCAAGTGTCGTAGTCATGATTTCTCTATCAATTATATTACTAATGTATTCTTTTAAATTGGTCACGTTATGTTATTCTTTAAAACTACTTTTTTTCTCAATGATATATATGTACATGTCAATGACAGTCAACTTCTTGGTAGTCTGATTTTACTCCGACCACTTAAATAATCATCATCATACTTCAGCTAACTAGTTAATTACCACGAAAACTTAATTCTATAGAATTAAGTTCTCGTGGTAATTAACTACACAGATTATTTCGTAACAAGTAAGTAGAAGGTGCGCAGTAGTTCAGTCTGCGATTTGAAGTAAGACAATGATCGGTCATAGGATGAATGACCAAAAATTTTATTACCTCGAGTTCCGCCTTGCGTTACGGCACGTTAAGTCGTTAGTTCTGGCTCCATCTGCGGTTGCTAACATTCACTGAGGGTGAGAAACGTTGACATGACGACTGATTGAGAAGTATGGTTGGAGATTGAAGAGTGGCGAAGCGTGCCTTGGAAAAAAAAGGAAGGAGAAGATGGCATTTTATAATAAAAAAAACCCGGCGCTGAGTATTATTGATACAGCGGTAGCTGGCTCCTGGCAGGAAACGACAAGTGCGAGAAAATCATGACGTAGTATGATAAATTATGTCTTAAATTTTATGCAAATGGATAGGGAACCGTTTAATAATAAGTTTAGCAGGTAAGTGAAGAAGTAAGTTAATTGGTGTCAATCTCATGAGACTAGAGAGTGCATATTAAAAACACCGTCGCTTTCGTCTCTTGTATATTTCCCAAGGGATATCTTACTGTTATATTCCAGATATATTTAGGTTAAAATATAATTTGCACACAACATTCATAAATTATTAAAATCAGCATTTAATCATTCGACTTTCCAAAAACAAAGTTAACCGAATCATGAAACTTATTTTGATTTGAAGTTGCATATATTAAGTTTTTAGTAGATATAATAAATAAATAATTTAGACAGCATCACAAACATTACTCACATTCCTAGATGAGTATTAGCCCTTATGTTATGGAATATCTGAAATAACAAAGGTACTACCAATACCCAGCCTCGAAACCTCAGGGAAAGCGTCACCAGAGAATCTGGCGTGCGAACCATTTGACTGCGAAGGTCAACGATGTTTTGATTTGAAAAAATTGACTTAAAAAACCGATTCCGGATACAGTGATTTCATCCAGTCATCACGACAAAATAAATTAAAGAAATATGAGACAGATTGGTGAACTGTATGATCGGGCGACGCATCCCGTTTACGAAGAGGTATTGAAAGAAGTGGCACTCGTGTTTTTCTTCTTTTATTACCAGATACAAGACCCACATGTCTCCTAATATAGACAAGCAAAAAAAGTATTTATCCAGTCCGGTCCATAACAGACTAAAATCATAATCGGTCAATAATGAGAAACCAGTTCTTTTTGATATAAAAAAAGCATAAATCGCACTTTGAGAATGACAATCTCAGTAACCAAAAACGACGTATTTTTTACTTTTGGCAACATTTTTCTTTGTTAAGTATAAACTTTAAAATGCAAAGATCCCTGTGAACGTAGTTTGCATAGAAACTGCTAGGTCGCGTAGTGACGATACGTTGTTTAGAGGGGCTGATTACAATTTCTCGAACTTTAAACGCTTATTACTCAAAATCGCATGTTTTGCATTGTGTCACTATCGTTCTCAACGTGCGAAATGTCAAAACAATTTGGCAATATATATAATGAAAATAAACATAATATATGTTTAGACGCACCCACTATCCAAAACGAAAATATGTTACCGAATGACAGGTTGATCATCGACAAATTGAGACAAAACGGTGTTCCATCTTCATTTGTGAACAACGATCGTCAATCAATCTTGGATCTGGCATTTAAGGACGTGTCACGTGGCTAAAGCGGAATGTTAAAAAAGACAATTGGTTTTCCAAATATTACATCTGCGACTAATGTATGTGTCTTTGAAATAATAATTTATTTCAGAATTATTTAGCATGATAAAGTTATTTTACTTTACATATCAGCTTTTAAAACTACAGCGATCTATCGTTCATTTTAACTAGAAAGAAGCAACAATTAAACACATTTTACATTTGTAAATACTAAATGGTTAAGCAGATTTAGTTTTTCAGGCATATATTTTAAAACGTTAATTCGTTTGACCTAATTTTGTAAATTGAATGTTGCGTCATCATAGCAATATTTTTGAAAAGTATTACACAAAAATGTACATTTAATTTTCACTCAGGTGCACATAAGTCCCTTAATTCAAATTATTCATTAGTTTAAACAGACATTAGGTACCGATACAAAATTTCAAATTTAGAACATTCATTAGAGCTTAAAGTCGCCATTAAAGCATGGATAGTTGTGCAACCGAGTGTTTGGCTGATATGTTTTAATTCGTTAAATTAACAACTTTAAACTGTTTCATCGCGTTTGTATGTTCCTTTATTCACGTTTCAGATCCTTTGATTTACTTATTTACCCTTGTAACGTAAACGTTTGCACAATATGAAAAAGATTGTATTGTGAATGTGTGTAATTATATATTTTGAAGGTAGCTAGAAGGTAGCTATCCTCTTAATTAAAAATACAATAATAGTTTTATGTGAACACAGAACCTGTAAAAGAGTCCGAAATGTCAATAAAATAAATACAAACTCGATGAAACCGTTTACAATAGGGATAACGACTAATTTTTATTTGTTTGTCCGTCAGGTAGAGTGTTGAACAATATTTAACACGTATTTTTTTTATTTCGTAATCATAAAATTACGGCGGTACATGGAGTTGAAATTTCGCATGACGTCACGTTATGGTACGTTTTCTACAAAACTGTGACGTAGCAAGCCCCCACTCCTCAACTTTATTGCCTGTTAGTTAAGCTATTTCTCGTTAAATTGAAGTAAAAAAAAAACGTATCTTAATATTTTTCTATTATCTGACTGACGGACTAAATAGAATTGCATTTTTTTTACCCAGTCGTCATCCCTATTATTAGTGCGCGTGAGAATATGAGAAATGAATATCATTAAGTTAAAATAAATATAACAAACAAAATCTTTCTAATATTTTTTATTTTATCGATACCCATAGCAACCACTGTAACAAGTACTGTAACAATTGTTGCCATTACAACCGTTAGAACCACCGCATCCATTATTCGTACCTCTGTTACCCAAAAGCAGCAGTAATAATATTAAATCAAGATTATTATTTTTGTTGCCTTCGTCAACAATTAAGATTTGTGGTTGCTGCAAAGGTGGAAAGTAGTTAGGGTAGGGAAAAGACTGTACATTCACAATCGGCTCCTCAATTTGGAACTGTGTGCTAGTGAACTGTTCTATTTGTACTTCTTCACGTTGTACTGGATACGCGGTCATCGTTCCACCGATGGTGACTGACACTTCGGGTATCGGTACCACAACGTCGGAGTACGGTTGGCCGACGTAAAAAGCGGACGCTTTGTACGCCTGAATTGAAAAAAAAAACATGTTCATAAATGAATCCATTATTTATTAAATTGTTTTAATGAAGGTGTTGATAAAATATTAGTATTAAACGAATCTGTTTAGGCGACTCATAAGATTAGGCGTGTTCTAAGTAAGCTATGCCTTCTTTTAATTGAAAACGGCAGTGGCAGACTAACCTCAGTGGCAGACAACATGGCAATGGGCCCGGATCAACAATTTATTTCAACCAGAGCAGTAACCTGATATTGCGTTTGCATCCACCCCTATCTCCTCCCGTATACATTTTTAACTTTATTATATTATTATGATTTTGACCCCCCAGGACCAGAGGCCCGTGGTGCTCGTATTACCGAATGATGGTGTGAAAGGCCATAAACATTAGAAAAGGATGTTTTCCATGGACGAAAGGCAATCAACATATATAGAATGCAATGAGTTAATGCTATCAATATCACAAATTACTATAGTTAGTAATAAAATCGATAAGAAAATAAAATAAATAAGTACCTCCAATGTAAATAAGATAATTTGCAGCAACTTCAATTTCCTCGACGCCATATTGTGTTCTACTGACCGAGTTCTTCCAGAACAACTCGGTCACTTTATATATTATTGGATGTTACAAAACTGTATTAATGTGTCCTAGTGTAAAACAATATGCGTACTTTGTCACGTACTCTTCGATAAAAAGCTGGCAATTTTGAAAGAAAATTGTTGTAATTCCGCGTAGAAATTGATATACGTTTGTTGAAAATTTCACCAGAATGTTGATGTCATAATTAAATTTTGTTAATATTAAGGCACGGCGGATATATCTCTAGAAATATGGCATATATTTAACAGATTCTTTTATCATTTGAAAGATGTTATAAAAATAAAATGTCTCGCCGTCGAGTATTATACTTCGCGCCTCGTTCTCGAGATTAGTATTTATTTGATTAGATTATATTACTAGTAGTATCGCATATGTGTCACTACTCCGGCACTATAGTTGAGATTTCTTTGCATTTGCTTTTTTTTTTTTATTTTTATTACGAGGGTAGTTCTCATCTTCTTAGTCGATACCGTTCCCTGCCATCTTCATTCGCTTTATAGTGCCCGACTGCTCCGGTCGTATTCCCAATAATGTGTATAACAGATCGTTAAAATGCCGAAACGTACGAAAGTTAGAACATGTGAAAAAGAGTTAAAACATCCTCAAAGGAAAATGCGTAAATTAGAACAAAAATTATGTGATAAGGAAAGTTCAGTTAGTGACTTGTGCCCGAATTTATGGGTACGGAATGCAATCAGAAAAGTCATTGGGGCTTATTCAACGCATTCAGTAAATCAGTTAGCGTTCAATCCATTGGGGATCTACCTAACTTTGACAAGATAACTATCGTTATCTAAAACTGCTATTGTATATATCGTAGGGGGAGTCCGGGAGAGTTTAGCAGGTGGGAGACAATAGCCACTGCTCATAAAATCTTTTTGATACTAGATATTGCGACGTTGCCACACTTCTTAGATTCCATAGCCCCCTCCCACCTTGCTCACGCGACGCCGTTACAATCGACAGTTTGGTTTCGGAGTGTGACGTGACAACACATTTTTGTGCCTGGTAAGTAAAAATTTTCAATTTTCATTATTTGATATGTGATGTTTACTGTGAACAGATTTCTCCAAGTCACTTATATAGATGGCAAGTGTAATTATCTTAGTATTATTCAGGACAGTCAGCTTTTACTTAAGTGTCATAGTTTTTTATAAAAATCTAATAACTGACAGTGTGGTGTGGGGTGGGAGATATTACCCCGGCGGCGGGAGGAGACTTTACCCAGGGTAATCTCTCCCTCAATCAGGGTCGTCTCTCTCGCAATTATATTTTTTATTTAATTTCAGATACAGTCATCCAAAATGCCCTTCAAATATAAAAAAAAAGAAACAGCTAGAAACAGAAGCAATTTAGATCTCTCAGTAATAATAAATGCTTTAAATGACATTGATAAAGGAAAGTCTATAAGAGGTGTTGCTTTAGAATATGGGATTGATCGAAATACTTTGCGAAATTATTTAAGAGACAGGTCCAAATTAACTAAAATAAGTGAACAAGGAAGCCAGTTTAAAACAGCTCAGATATTTTCAATCGAGGAAGAGAAAGCACTTGTTGAATATCTTCTAACTTGCAGCAAAATGAATTATGGCTTAACCAGACAAGCAGCTATGAAACTGGCATATGAATATGCAACAATTAATTCCAAAAAAATTTTAAATTCTTGGAGTTTCAACAGCTGTGCAGGGAAAGATTGGTTCAGAGGATTTATGAAAAGGAATCCTGAACTAAGTTTGAGAACCCCAGAAGCAACTAGTTTATCCAGATCAACCAATTTTAATAAAAAAAACGTAAATGATTTCTTTGAAAACCTCAAACAAGTTAGAGAAAAATATCAATTCGAAGCTCATAACATCTACAACTGTGATGAAACAGGGTGTACAACTGTACAAGAGTGTCCCAAAGTAATAGCCAGCAAGCATGTGCGTCAAGTAGGACAAGTTACCTCAGCTGAACGTGGCAGTCTTGTGACCGTTTGCTTCGCCGTGAACGCTCTGGGAAATGTAATTCCACCATTTTTCATTTTCCCTAGGGTTAAATATAACGAATCCTTTGTAGCTGATGGACCACCAGGTTCACAAGGTGATTCCTATTCGAGCGGATGGATGACAACCAAGAGTTTTGTAAAATTCATGGCGCATTTTGTGAAGTATTCGAATGCCTCTCTTCAAAACCAAGTCTTGCTTATCCTCGACAACCACGAAAGTCATGTCAATATTGAAGTCGTCAAATACGCAAAATTAAACGGAGTAACTTTGCTGACTTTACCACCCCACTGCAGCAATAAGTTGCAGCCATTAGATGTTGCCATTTATTCATCTTTCAAGGCTAGATATAATTCAGCCATGAATAATTGGATGATAAGTAACCCAGGACGAACTGTTACGATCTACAATATACCCGGATTTGTAAGCATAATTATGTCGCAGGCTTTTAGCCAATCCAATATTCTGAGTGGATTTCGAAAAACTGGGATACATCCCTATAATCCGGACATCTTCACAGATGAAGACTTTTTATGCTCCGCGGTAACAGATAGAGAAATGACTGGTGAACTTCAGGAGCAAGAACAACGTCAGCCAGAGCCTTCAACATCAGCATCAGTATCCGTGAACGAAACTACGGCGCCTAGAGTCAATTCACCATCAATTCTAACTGAGGAGGAATCTGAGCGAGTAATTGCAATGTTAAGACAATCAGAGGAGGTAGCTTCTACTTCTCAAGATGTGGATGTGAGAAGTACGGTAGATTGTGATTCACGACAAAAAACAAAAATAGTTTTACCACAATTGATTCGTCCTTTTCCAAAAGCTGCTCCTAGAAAAAGTCTTCGTCGTGGTAGACAACCCGGAAAAACTAAAATTTTAACAAAAACTCCAGAAAAAACGGATCTAACTGATGATTTTAAACCAATAAATGAGAAAATTAAAATAACCAAAATAAAACAAAAAGGTAAAGCAAAGAAAAGAGCAGTAAAAAGACAAGTTTTACAGTCCAGTGACAGTGAGACTGATCTTGACGAAGAACCCAAGTATGATAACAGCTCTGATAGTCCAGGGGATGAAGAACCAAATGTAACTGATAATTGGTTTTGTTTCATCTGTGGAGAAGACAAAGTTATGGACATGAGACTTTGTGCTTTTTGTGGCAAATATGTCCATGAAATGTGTGTTGGACTGTCCAAAGACGATAAGGATCAATTTATTTGTCCTAATTGCTCCAATTAAAAAAGGAAAACTGATAAAGAATTTTAATGTTGATTTAATTTTCGTCTTTTAAATTTTATTTTTGTTCTTAATTTTGACAGTATAATTTTAATTTTAATTTTGCTGACAACATACAAGTTATGATACATCAGACTGATTTGTGATACTTTTAAGGTTTAACTACTTACAAAGTTTATTATCTTGCTAAGTATAAGATAGAATAGGTTCAGACTATAAGAGGTAGAAAGCTATTGTTGCTTTATATAAATTATATAGTTTTCGTGTTTTTTTTTCTAATTATTAGTTTATAAACAAGCACCATTGTAAAAGTTAATGTTAAGAAATACATGTGATAATAGTTAATTCCTCACATATATATCTCAAAGATACTCAAAGTTCCTTCCTCGTGTTCTCATTTACTACGTAATACTATGTGCCATATTTTGTTGATTAAATTTCATTATAGAAATACAATTTGTAATTATTTTTTGTCTATTTTTAAACTTGGGTAAATGCTCCCTACTTAGGGGGTCAAGTCTCCCAGAGGGGCGGGAGATATTAGCCGAATGTCACTTTGGTAGAAATCGTTAATTTCTCATAAACTATTAATGATGCATTAAACTTTCTTTAGAGAAAATGTAGCTAAATAATGCAGCTTATGATACAATTTATTGAAAACAGCGATTTGTAAGAATAGAAATATTTATGAGCATTTTAGTGGGAGGCGGGTAGACTCTCCCGGACTCCCCCTACCTATCAGACTATAACGTATTTACGTTAAAACAAAAAGTATGCACCTGAACTGCCGTTGGGGTTGATTCGTCGCATACTTTTATGGATGACTATGATCGTCATAGTCATAATATGAATGAAAATCACAAACGATTTTCTTATCTTTCTGCCACCCCACCTATGGTGCCGAGTGATTGGTTATTAGAACAACCTCATTATGACGATGATCCACAATCCATTATTGGTATCAGTGACATTCAAAACTTATACTATACATTGAGGATGACTGTGTCGACGCGACGACCGTTAACGAACCACCTGTCGAGTCAGAGTTACGGCCCCAAGAAGGGGTCCATAACGAAAATGATCTGGACACCGATATCCTTTAAATTCTCGGCAAAGATCCTTCGCACTTAGAGAAGCTCGGTAATGATATCCGACATAACTCGCTTGTCGACTAACTCATATTACCATAGAGGGGCTTAATAAGGATATCCGTAAGGAGCTGATAGCGAAGTACCCAATTGCTGCTAATTGCTCTCTTATTAGTGCTCCAAAACTTAACCCTGAAATCAAGGCTGGCATACTTGAAAATACTCTTAAGAGGGACAAAGGCATAGAGGGTAAACAAACGCAAATGGCCAGTGCTATTGCTTGTCTTGGAGAAATAATTATTGCTCATCTTAACTCTAAGGAAAAGGATAAAGAATAACTGCTTTAGATAATGGACCGCAGTCGTTTACTGTGCGATATTCAACATAGCGATTCAGTTACTAGAAGAAACTTTATAATGTTTTCATTAAAAAAGATCGATTCATTTTTATTCGGCGGAACATTGACTGAAACTCTTATGACAGTAAAATCAATAAACAAGTCTGGAATCGAATTAAAGGCTGACCCTTCTACAAAAAATATAAGTAAACGGCAAAAAATATCTAATCAGAATCAGTTAAACCGGAAAGCTCCCGGGGCGGCGTACAGGCAACCAGGCCCATCGCAGAGGAGTCGCGAGCCTGCATTCCCGC